CTTTGCTCATTTGACATGAAACTCAGTTTTATTGCTAAAGAACGCTACAGAGGCGCAAACTTGTTCAGTAAACAATGGAGAGTTGTTGACAAATCATGCGTTTTGTTTTGTTACGACACGAGTGGGGTACTCGATGACTCCGATTGCTCGTAAAGTATCCAGGCCTCATTTGTCATCTTGCTAAGAGTCGGGCATTAACTAGACATATCACACTTTGTTTTCTATTGGTCATTGGTGAAAGTGAAACCTGTCATCAGTAAATTTGATAATTAACTCTCCTGATCGTTCTTTATGTAACTGGTGTGTTTTTTCTTTACTAGGCTTTCAAATTATTGTCGAGTATCGTGAAGGAAGGAGGCCGACGTGGATTGCAGGAATGTGAAAATCAATTCAAGAACGAGATCTGGAACTGTACATTGAACAATAAAGAAATTTTCAGAGAGCTGCCCATCTTCGTTAAAACGACTCTACCGTATGGTAAGCCGATCTTTGTGTCGTTAAGCCGACCTTGTTTAATCCCAAAGGAGAGCGTAACGAAGACTTGGAATTTCAAGTCCATGCTTGAGGTTTGGCATCAGTCCCACGATCTTTCCAGAGAGGGAATAAAAGTAAACCTTGAATTTATGATTATATTTCTGGAGCTTTCGGTATAAATCTGGCCGCTTTTCTTCAGGAAAAAATTAGATTGAGTCTTCGCAACGAAATGTTTATGAAACCCGTGAACAAAGACACACACCTTTCATCCTCTCTCCTCTTTTCATCTTTCGTGAATGGCATTCGACTTGATTTCCGAGCGTTTATTGATTAGTTTATACTTTAAATACGATTCTTAAAAGGATATTCTCAGTTTTTAAACTGTACCAAACACTACCAAAACCATAATATTTTAAAATACAATTTAACATTTATTCTTAGCATTATGGCTTAGCTCGTTTGATTGATATAATTTCCTTTCGAATTCTAACAGTTATTATATTCTTATAGCCACTAGGGAGACCGCGTTTATCCACGCCATCAGCTCTGCCGCCATTACTCACGAAATCACGCTTCAGTGCCGACAGGGAAAGATCCCCGGATGCTCGTGCGCCGTAGTCAAGAAACAGCGACGGGTTACAGATGATTGGCAGTGGGGAGGGTGCAGTGATGACATCAGATATGGCGAAAAGGAGACAAGGCGCTTCATCGATAGACTGGAAAACGGAAATGATGCTCGAACGGCTTTTAATCTTCATAATAATGAAGTAGGAAGGAAGGTATGCTAATTTAATTGTTTTTGTATTGCCTCAATCAGGATATCGAGCCAGTGTAACACCTTTTATTTTTTGCTTGCGTTGAATTCCTAACTTTCGGTGGATGAAATCTCTTACCGTAAGGGAGCTGAACGAAATATGTCAAAGTTACAGAATTCTTTTTCACAGTACAGAGAGGACATGCCATTTGTTCTCTGAATAAAGACCTCGGAGAATTGCGGAATCTCGCTTTAAAAGTGGCTCCAATATAAAATCTAAACAGACTTCATACTGTTAAAGTGGTCACAGTATGTCATCTTGGTAAATGCACTCTCTATATGAAGTGTAGTCGTTTGTCTCACATCCGCTTTATTGTGGAGACGTGGCGACTGGGCTGTAAGGGTTGGATACTCACATGTGTCAATCAAGAGTCCAAAGGTGATCAAAGTTCTACTGGCAGATTTTCCGATCTGAGTCAACCGATTATACTTCGTATAGAGACTGTGATTGGTTTATATTTGCGCGGGAAAATATAGGCCAGCAACCATAGATACTCGTGATCTGAAGTAAGAAGAGAGGTTGGGTCCAAAGATGCTTAAGCACGCTTATTTTGAACCAACAGGTTGTTCGCTCGAGTGTGCAAAAAGAATGCAAATGTCATGGAGTCACAGGAAGCTGCAGTATGAAAACGTGTTGGAGACGGTTGGTGAACTTCAACACTATCGGATCAAAACTAAAGGAAATTTATTTCAGAGCCACGCAGGTTTCATTTGAGAACAACAAGCTACAAGAACGAATTCATAAGAAGACAAGAGCTGTCTCCAAAAGAGAAAGAAAGTTGGTCTATCTCGACTCGTCCCCAGATTACTGCTTAAGAAACGACAGTGTGGGTGCCCCGGGAATGTTGGGGAGAACATGCAGAAGCGACGAGGTATCCACGACTAAATGCAAATCACTGTGCAACTCGTGCAAAATGTGGCATCAAACACAAGAACATTACAAGCTTGTAAAATGCAAGTGTCAGTTTGTGTGGTGCTGCACTGTTAAATGCGAGATGTGCTCAGAGAGATATTCTGTGACGACTTGTTCAAGAGGATAAAACTGCACATGCACATGACTGAAATGCGAGCTGTTCGCAGTACTTTACGTTCCCGTATTAACAGCAAAAGGACGCACATCAGGAAAACTCCCGTGAATTTTTCCATCAAAATCGCCGTTCGTTTCAAATAAAGATACAGGTTTTCACGTCATGTAAAAAGTTCTAGTTTTTTTTTCTTTCTTGCCAAAATATTGGCCAATATAACAACTGTGTAAATAATAATGTGATTGGCCGTGTATATGGTGGTATGGTTTGCACTTATACCCTCGAATCCTGTGGACAACTCGATCTCATAATGATTGCCTCGGTTTCGCGAGGAAAGTAGACTTCGGAAAGTCTTGGATGCGGAAGAATTGCTCTTGTTTGAACGATATAAAAGCATTGATAATATTAAACACAACATTTTGTGGTATGCTCATTACAGCACGTAGGAAGTTTTCGTTCCTCATAAGGGATAATTTTGGCAAAAATGTAGATTTAACTAAAATAACATAGCACATTTCACAATTGGCTTATAAAAGTAAGGAATATTTTGGCAGTTCTTTGTAAAAGTTGAGTTTAGCAATCAAACTTACCGAAAATGAATTCTAGACAAAACTTATCTTTTTTCGTGCTTAAGGCAGTGTGTATATGTTGCTGCGGTGATCAAAGTGTTGCTCGCCGATGTTATTTCACATCATTTAAATTAATGTAAGATAGTTCAGTATGTTACATGCGCTTTAAGGTGTTTTAACATAGACAAATAAACTTTGAAGTTAGATCAGAAAACTCTGGATTTGTCTCTGAGTACAGGATTACACCTCACGAGGGTTGATTCGCAAGCTAGACCAGGACTGACAGGAAAGAGAAGACTGAAATAAGATTTTCCTTAAAATTTCCATAATTGCTCCTTTGACTTTAGAGATCTGGTGTGTTCAATAGAGGACATTGGTCATCCACCACGTAACATATGAAAATTCCGCTGGACAATGATTCGCGTGTTGGGGATAAAAATCAAATCTTTAGATAGTACGACATTAAGCCAGACATCTTGGAACGATATTGGCCGCAAAATGAGTCCCGAGGTGCGTGATCTCAGTGAGTCCTCAGGTGCGTGATCTCAATGAGTCCTTAGGTGCTTGATCTCAGAGTCTGTTAGTATACTGACGGCTACAAATAATTTAGTTTTATGACGAGGACTTCAGCTAGATGATGTTCCTTTTTTTATTCATTTATTTGTCTTTTTATCTTTGTTTTTGCTTCATCTTTTTCCCCGATGTATCGTTTACTTACAATGACCACTGCAAAAAGAATTTTAAAGATGCTCAGTCTTCCAGACTGGGTGTCGAAGCTAACCTTTGCTACGCAGTTGTCTACGGTGAATCAATTTTGGTTATATCACGAATGATAATACGCATTGAATGCCTATGGATGCGCTTCATTTCCTCTCACAGACGATGAATAACTGTCATACCTATTAGAAAACTGATCTCGCCAAACTACAATAGAAAGAACCAAATCGTTAGAGCTGACTTAAGAACAGTTCAATCACCGCAATGGATATCGACATTTTCCTTAGGCGTTTGTTTAACCTATGCAATGCAATAGTCTATGTATAATGATTTTTAGAAGGTTGCTGGTTTTCGAATTATTCGCGGAGAAAAAAGTGAATGAATACAAACACACGAAGTTCGATGATTGAAAGAGAAGTTTCAATGCAGCCTATGAACAGAATTTAAAGCATCTAAAGCTTTTGATTATTGTGCCTTTTGTTTGTGCTCAGAGAAACATTTTACCGGAGGACATGGTCGTTTGAATGCAGTAATTAAAGACGTTTCTGGATCGCTATTTCGCTGAATGCAGATGAACAAGAATTTAACTTACCGCACGCACTCAGATTGGTGCTGCATTTTCATTGCCAAACCCCATCAAACCAATGTTTTATATGACACCATCGCGATAAAGATAATCTTATGAGGCCTGAATGGGGAAAAAAACTTAATTTTTTCTCATCGATAGCAGACCACCCTGCTACACGTAATTGAACACGCTCGATTAATTTGCCATTTACACAAGCTATTGTGGAAAAAACAAGACGCATAGTGCAATACCAGGGAACCACCATAAACGGATTTTGTTCGCGAAACAACTAAGTATCGACTTTGAAATCTGATCTGACGGAAGATGACGCCTTATCAGAGTTAAACACCGCTCGAGCTCCCTTCTTCATCATTGACACCATTAGACAAAGACTTAACCACAACCCCTCCTCCTTAGCGATTAGTTTCAGTCGCCCAAGCACACAGACATCACAGATCCTCTTCTTTCCGAGGCGAACTATGGATTGAAATCCGATAATTCGGCTGTTGCTCTACTTTGATCCAAATACTCAGTGAGATGTCTATTGGTTTTCTCGCACCTATATTTATTCTCGTGGCCCCGTCCCGCGCTGATCCCTACCAGTGCATGTAGAACACCTTAAAGTTATGTTTATGCTTACACTAGCGTCTCTAGTGAGCACCTGGCTTTAAATAGAACCATTTGGTACATCACGAAAAAAATACATCGAAGAACACGCATCTCTGACTGCGCCGCTCATGCACTTCCAGTTCGTGTTTCGTTATGTGAAGTTGTAAGGTGCCCCATTACAACATAGAAACTATGGCACAAGTCCTGCAACAGGTAGATGTCTAAGTGCTTGTTATTTTGATTGACAAACCAGCTTTCGTTAAAAATTCAAAGTGGTCTATTCCTGTGATCTTGCATAGATTATTTTCTCTCCAAAAGACAACGATTAACCGAAGAAAGGAAAAACTGAGTGTAAGTAAATTTAAAAATGTTTATTTTTGACTAAAATTGGTAGCAGTCAAGTAGTGTGGAATTTAAGCTTCTTGTTTCAGGAGTCCGAATTTATTTGTTTGAAAATTCCATGTACCGTAGAACAGGTAACAAGCTCCAAAACTGGTGGTACTTCAACGCTTTTTTACTCTTCTTTCCGCGTCGATTATCGAGAAGCTGGCGAGCAGTAAACTACATAGACTACATAATTCATGTTTCTAAATTTCTTTTGAAAAAAACAAGTCGTAAATTTATTTCATGTAAACACGACAACAGGGAAACTCGTCACGTTACTCACCTCAAATATGTATTACGTAATATCAGTCACGGTGGCCTTAGGCAAAAAGTCCGTATTCCAAAGTCAATTATTAGTTGTAGCTCTTTACTTAGGTTGTAAAAATTGAGCAGAGTTCCGATCACTAAATGTGCCTCATGAGTCGAGGCTGTTCACTGATTGTTATTATCACCTGTCATCCTCACTAATTCGTGTTTATGCCTCAATCTTGAGTCGAGGTTCTAAACAGTCTCTCCGATGCAGGAAACTTGGCAGTCGAGGAACTTAATCATTTGAACCGCTCCTTTTTCGCCCATGGCGTTAGTTAAAAAATTACATAGCTTTGTGATCGATCTGTGGGCTGCGACTTGATTAGCAGCGAGGATTCAGAGGGTGATTACCTCCATACGTTGGAGAGAAGAATGCGCACAATACCTTAACCATTCTATAGCTAAGAGCTTGCGTCCCTATAATAATGATTTTTTCAGTTCTAATTCAATTATTTGAATTGCAGAATCACCGCTTAACTTAGTCATAGTCAGTAGAGGAGAAAATGGCGAAGGTTATAGACGCTTTGTGCAGCCTACTATGGAGTATAATCTGGTTGATCATTTTGCTTCTTATTGCGTGGCCAGTTGGTTTCATAGCCGCCATTCTTTTCGTTCTTGTCTCACCATTAAATGCCTGCTGTGACTGCACTAAGAGTCTCACGGATTTTTTCATGAAAGGGGTTAACTTCCCGTACAACGCTGCGAGTCATGCTGTCGATGGCAAACGAGGATGCTAAATCAGGGGCAAAGTACAAAGTCATAAAGTGCTGAGCGGAAACTAAATGAAAAGTGAACAATTGAAACAATACAGTTATCTTTATTTCGTAATAAGGCAAGCACTATATACGTGCCTCAGCAGTGCTATCATCGTAGTTGTGGTGGGGACCTCAAGTAGAACACAACAGGCGGCGACGGCAAAGAGGATCTAAATCTGTGCACATTTCTTAGCTGTCCTCTGCCGAAAAACAATGTGTAATCACCTAACTTTGCGTTGTCCTAGCACGGGAACTCCGGCGCCAAATTATTTTAGTTTCCGTTTGGGACTGAACGTTGCTCGCATACTTTATTAGGTTAAGCTGAAGTTGAAGTGTGGCGCCCCAAAAGACGGTAAACACATCTAGCCATTCGTAAATCCTAATTTAAATAGGAATTATTTTTTAATCGACGCTTTCCTCGGGGTTGCCGTCGTGACCACTGAAGGTCCCTAATATATAAAGAAAGCACAGTACCTCGCCATGCTCCAAACTGTGCATATAGCGTACAATCGTTGAAAAAAGGAGAACCTTTATAATTCCTCCACATTTTCTCTTTCATGAAAGTAGAAAGCGCGTATTTCACATACAAATACTTAATATATCATAATGTAGCACCTGTATGTCTATCCTTTCTGTTTTTCGACAATAATGATCCACCAATCAGAGAATCAGGGATTCAATTAGATGAAGCTAATTTGATCATGACCCTGGGCGTTCATTTTTCTCCGAGACGCCAGGATCTGTTTCGCTGTATTTGCATGGAACGCACAATTTATTTTTAGGTCGCATTATCTAGGAAAATTTATCAGGGCCTAGTCATGCAATTGTGGATCACAAAAAAACATGCAAGGAAAAAACATTGAAGCCTTGAAAATTGACCTTTGCTTTGTAGGTTTTATGAGACCTTCTGGGTGTTGAAAGAGAAAGTTTCGATTCAGCAAAATTTAAAGAAATTAATTTAACTCTGAATGGCTTAAAAGTTGACTAAAGAAAAAGATAAGAATTTTACGGATTTTTTTATGTCTCATTTTTAGAAGACAGACATTTTTTGAGAGCGCTGTGGAACAACGAGTTCTTCGGATAGTCCAAACGTATGCTAATCTGCGTTCATTCCGTTTCATTTTTGGGGTGAAGAAGGCGAGATTCAGCTTTTAAATAGTTCAAACCGTACTTTTTGGAACATTTTAACGCAACACGATTTGATTTTGGACTCCTTTCGTAGCCTGCGAGCATTCCATCGTTATCTTATAGTGCCGCAGGACACGACTTAATTTTAGACGAGTCGGATGTCTGGAACTAATAATTATCTGTGCTGGACTCCGTTGCCTAAGGGCGAGCGAAGAACCGCTCGTGCTGAAGCTATTAACCTTCTCGCAAGCCACTCCATGAGTGAGTATGCCCCTTTGTCCTACCGCTATCACTTTGTGCATAGCAAAGACCCTGGGCACTAGTCTTGAAAATTATCGCGCCCGCGATCTTTTGCCAAGTAGTACAGCAGTAACAGGGAAGAACACAAATATTGGTACATGTACTACTTGCTTGGCCGGGGGACTGTGGAAGTTTTTAGAACACTGATTGCTGAGACTAAGAGTAGATTTTTACGACTCTAACTCCACGATAAAGGTTCATTAAACCTTCATGAGCTTTATAAGGCACTCTGCACGACTGAGACACATCGGAGGACATTTGAAGGCTTTTAATTCCCTATCACATGTCAACAGGAGCTTAAGCAGCGCTAGTGTCCAAGGTGAGCTGAAATAACTCGTTACATTTCGGCGCACGGGGTAAAGATTGGTTCGTTACACCAAGAGGTTTTATATTAAAGAATACACTTTTCAGTTGGTAGTAACACTCCTGAGCTTGATCATGGAGAGAAGAAAGAGAGAGGGGGATGGAGAGGGGGGCAGGTATTGGGTTAGGGGGAGGCAGCTGGTGGTGAAATATCTCGCAAACTTGACAGTTTGTGATACACTTGTCTATTAACAAGTCTATCAGTTCTGACTTCAATATTTAACTCTGACAGAATGCTTTGAATGTCGTAAGCCATTTAGTATCTTAGACCCATCATCCATCAATCGACTATTAACACATTACACCCAAACTCCATTATACATATTCCCCATACTGTTCTCTGTACATTTACTAAGATCCGGACAAGGAGAATTTGTTTGATAATCATAAGAGTCTCCTTTATTCTTGTGACCTTATTGTGTGTGATTCTGGACTGATATTGTTTAGAGAAGTTAGATGCTAATTACTCTAGGAATCAAAGGATTATAAACCTACGCCAGCTTTGGGGCTCTCAGAAAATCCTTAGGTTTTTCCTCTTCATACTGACAAATCAAAGTTATTTTTGCATATGTCAGAATTTAAGCTTTCAACTTTCTTGGTCAGAAGCTGACTTAATTTTCACCTCTCTCCTTTTTCTGAAGTAGACAAGCTGTTTTTGAACCACACATTTGAAAAAATCATACCTAATGTGGTGTGATTGCTCTAACACCAGGTAATTACCTTTTGAACCCAATTAAACAATCACAACAACCTTTTTCAACCCCAATTCTTGAAAATAATTTCTAAGACTCACATTTTACGAGAAAGATCAAGAAAGAAAAAAAAGAAACAGAAAATACTGTTTAGGTTTTGGTGTCTTGCAATCATTCTCCCGATTCATATACTTTAAATCTTTTAGACAACTTCAAATCAACAATGGTGCATCTTCTTTAATTTTTCATGGCACCAATACTTAATTAGCCATGATGATGTAAAGGAAGACTTAGTCCTTTAACTCCTCAGGGTAACTGGCTTCTAATTTCTCCTTACAGTATCACCCTTGAATCTAAGGGAAAGGTGACGAGAATAAAGTACTCAATCACCAATTTCAGGAGCTCTTGACAGTCACACAAATTCTCCTTGTCAGCGCTTTAGGAAATGTTATGCAGAGAGTTTGGAGAAAGTGAATGCTTATGCTGGGGTGTAAAGGGTTAAACATTATTATTTAACTTTCCTTGGTTGATTTAGATTCATCTGAATATGATCTCATTGTAATTGGCGGTGGGTCTGGTGGACTTGCTTGCTCAAAAGAAGGTAAGGACAAGAAATCAACTCTGAATACTAAATCATGAAAGTTACTTAAACCTTGAAACTCCCATGATCTGATTGTTAATTCTTCTCTCTACTGAGCTACTGCAAATTTCCTTGTAAATGAGTTACAACATATCCAATGAGTTGGAGTATTCTCATTGCCTGTTCGATGGATAATGTATGGATAAAATAGGGAAAGGATTACATTTTAATCACTTCTGGGAGGTTAAGAGCTAAGGGGAAACTCAGCCCATCAGTTGTGAATTAACTGCTACTTTTGTTATCTTGCAGCGGCAAAATATGGAAAAAAAGTTGCAGTATTGGATTTTGTTTCTCCATCTCCTCAAGGTACTGTCAGTGGATGGTTGCACTCTTACTAGCAACTGGTTCTAATTGTAATATTGTATCTGTATGGAAACAAAAGTTCTTAAGTCTTAGTGTTGCTTTTGTGTTGTTTGTGTTTCATTCTCATTCAAGGTTCTGTCTGGGGCTTGGGTGGAACCTGTGTTAATGTAGGATGTATTCCAAAGAAGTTGATGCATCAGGCAGCGCTGTTAAGGGAGTCATTGAAGGTACAATTAATTAGGTACAATTATCATAATTACAGTAATTCATTGCAGTTTTCACCTTCTACAACCTAACATCAGTATGCTTACTCACCATACTTTTCTCTTTGCAGTTGCTATCAATGGTACTGACAAAAAAAATTTTTTTTAACTGACTTTGACCCGTAAGAGTGACTAGCATCTAATTTCTCCAAACAATAGCACCCCTGAATCACACATTAAGGCTAGTAAAGTGATGTCAGGTTCCTGGCAAAACTTAGAAAGCTGTCATCATTACATTTGGGATATTATAATTTGTGATGGAAGGAAAAAACCAATTGGTTTCTAGTGAAACCTTAGCTGACTATTTCAGTACTAGTAAAACCAGTTAGGTTGTTGTTTTGTAGAGTAATTTAGTATTATCAGAAACAACAGTGTTTTAAGTATAGCCTTAAACTTGAACTTCTTGAAGATTTTATAGATTCTCAATGATTCTCCTTTCAATTGATGTTATATTGTTGTCATTAATTAATTGTTAAAAATAGTTATTCCCTTTTGATAGTAATGAATTGTAGTTAATGACAGTTATTTATTTTAATTGTAGTTGTAGTTATTGTCTTTGAAAAGCCCCTTTTGGGAAAGTCAATATTAAATAATGTATATGTAACTCAGTTGATATACTAAATTACCTGTTATACTCTCCCTCCAATGCAGCACCACAATTTCTTTAGAAACTTATCCTCTTTATTGTTGTTTTGTAGTTTGCTTTCATATCTTGATCTCCTATGTGATGATCATTACACAATGAAGTTACTAGTCAGAATATATTTTAGGTATTCATTGTTTGTCCAAGTTTGCTAATAAAATGAGAACAAACTGTTTTTTTTTTTTTTAATTTTTTAATTTTCTCACATTGAGAGAATACAGTAATGAAACAAAACTGGATCTCCAAGCCCTAATGTGTTGTGCTAACCTTCCACCCCTTTAGGATGCCAAACACTTTGGATGGAACGTCCCAGATAACATAAACTTTTCATGGTAGGAATTTCTTTTGATTACAGTGATGGATAAGTATGTAATTTTTTTTCTTCAAAGCAGATTATCATGTTGAAAACTATTATATTGTTTTTTTTTTTGGTAGGGAAACACTTGTGACAGCAGTTCAGAATCATGTCAGATCATTGAACTGGGGCCACCGAATTCAGTTACATGACAAGTAAGTCTGAAAGTCATAACACTTGTTAAAAGGCACTGATATTTAGTTTCAATGTGCGTAATTACTTTTTTCAGTTGGTGATGTGCAGTTTCCAGCTGTTTTGTGAAATTTGTGGGAAAAAGAGTATAAAAGTGCATGCGACAATCCCCAAAAGGTATTATAGGAAGTTTTCAGGTCACATCTCTTTGACCTCTGGAAATCAGGGAAATCTGAGAAAAGGTCACTGTAAGAACAAGGCATTAGGGGTTTGAAGATTTCATTTCATTGTTTATTTGTTTAATAAATAATTATTAAATCCATTGATTACTGGATTCCTAGATTAATTTTCATGATTGTTACATGCACTTTTGTCCATTTTTTGGACAACTTCTTCAAAACAACTGAGTATATAAGATGTAAACAACAGTGTAACTGTTTTAATTTGCAGTTTAGCAGTGATATGATTGTCCACATTACTTTGATGCCAGTTGCATGTCTGTGTCACCATCTATCCTAGTTTCCCAATCTTGGCAGTAGCCAACAATATTTCTTTTTTTATTTTCAGGAAGGTTGAGTATGTTAATGCTAAAGGTTCCTTTCTGGACTCTCATACAATCAAGGCAGTACTGAAAAATGGCACTGAGGTACAAAATAAAACAATTGTTTATCAAATTGATTGTGTACTGTGGGTAGTATATATTTTGGAAAAAAATAAAAAATGATAAGAATGGTAATGTTCGATATAACTTAGCACTCTAAGAAAATTATAAAAGGATAAGATTATAGGTTATGAGCTTTTGCACACAGTTCATGTTAGTATTACATACAATAAGTAAAATTAAGTACGGTTACAAGCAATGTTCATATTGCTAAATTGTTATTGAATACTGTATGTCAAGACGGTCAGTATCTTGTATCTATTTAGTAGTGTTGATATAATAACTGAGTGAGGTAAATAACAAAATTTTGACCAAAAATAGGGATACAGCTTTAATTTGACTTTGAGTGGCCATACAGATATTGGATTTCTCTAACATAGTTAACATCAGAATAACCTTGCAAGCATAACAAATTGTACTACACAGACCTTTTTGTGATAGTCTGAACATTGTATCTTCATCACCTAACATTGTTATGGACAATTTTCTTAAGAAAACAAACAACTAGACTTGTGAGGCTGGGGTATACAGATCCCATTAGACACCTAGCTCTGCTTATCAGTTGGTTATTTGTCAGTTGTGTGTTCAGGTTAGCTAATCGCTTAAAACTTTTTTTTAGAAAACTATGAAGGCAGATAATTTTGTAATAGCTGTTGGTGGAAGACCAAAATTTCCTAAGGAGGTTAGCTACCTGAATATCAGTCAGAGTATTTACAAAGTTGTTACTTTTAGAATACCTTTTCCTAATATTATTTTGAATGGGTGGTTTATTGTGGATTGGGATGGTGTGGGATTTTTGGTAACCCCCAAACAGGTCCTCATAATAAGTGCTGCAGGATGTGTGTTCCTCTGCCCATGAGGAAGAATTGAGGTGATTTTGGTGAGGTTTGTCAGGGGTCTGGTATCAATAATGAGGGCCAGCAAGGATGCTATAGTGATTGGGTTTTTTTTTTTTCTTTCCAAACCTCTTCCTGGCAAGGGTTTCTTAAAGCTTAATTCTTTCCTACAGGCAATGAAATGCTTATGTTGGCATGCTTGATTTTTGGAGATGCTAAATTTTTTTTTTCACTTTATTCATAGGCTCAAAATCTTTTCTTTGCCTTTTTGTCAGGAAGCTTTTTCTTTGCTGTAACCCTTTGCAATATTTTCTTTCCAGGTTCCTGGTGCCATAGAGTATGCTATCAGCAGTGATGATATTTTTTCCTTGAAAAAATCTCCAGGGAAAACGTAAG